CCCGGGGCCTTGGTGTTATCAGCACCGCACTCTCCCGAGTGAGCCACGGGCCGGCCCGGCCTTTGTAATATTGTAAGGAAGTGCTGTCTCCCCATCTGGGGCCCTGTGAGAGCAAAAGGAGGGAAGATTAGAACAGCAAGTCCCTTCTTCCACACCTGAATGATAAATTCGTACTAGCTACCTTGCAAGTGTTTCAGCTGACCTTTCTCAGACGTTTCTTCCCAACACCGGGGAGAATTGGACCCAAAGCCACCAGGATTCCTGGAAACTATTAGGAGACAAAAAAGATTTCTTGATTCCATAGACAATAGTAGGACCTGAGGTTGGGACTCCTACTGTGTGATGGAAGGTTCTACTCCTGCTGCCATATGTCCAAATTGTGGTAAGTGTTGCAACACTTGATTAATTACTAGGGTAAAAGGTTGGAGGTGGCTAGGTATGTTGACAGCAACTTCAAATATTGCCCCAGCATGTGTCTGTCAAAACACAGACACCACGAAAAGGGTAGGAAACTGGAACTGAAGAGATCTTTCACTTGACCAAATGTGCATATTGGTGGAGTTATATTTACTATTCAGCCAACAACTGCCCTCCTATATGGAGCACCCAATGTGTGCCTAGCATGCAGTAGGCATTCTGTATTATGGCTACTATGAACAAGTGAGTGAATGAATAAATGCAAGAATGCTTGGACTGGCCAGTTATCTCAGCTGGTTAGAGTACAGTGTCCTAACACCAATGTAAAGGGTTCAGATCCCCATACTGGCCAGCCGCCAAAAAAAGAGAGACTGCTCACTGAGTACACAGTGATGGTTTCCTGGGACAAGAATTATCTGAAAGAGAACTAAATCTGTCCACGAGCCCCAATCTCTTCATTCAACTTTACTGTTAAATGAGGCCTAGTGTAACCGACGTAGATTCACGCTCTCTGCCCAAATTCGGAATAAACTAAACATGCATATATTTCTGACAATACTACTTGAGCCTTACAGGGTTACTCTACAGTTAGATATATTTGACATGTGAACCAAAAAGCCAGAATAAACCTACTCAATCTTGTCCCAATACCCCTCTCCCAGCAGATAAAAATTTGTGAACGCTCTGAACAAGTTCTTAAACTAGAAGATGGGGCACAGGCTTCAAGATCTGTGCAGACCTTGGACAAAACCCAGATTCCTGCCACACACGGGCAGAGGGGACCTTTGGGCACACTACAGTATAATCCAAGTCTCAGTCTCCTCAGCTGTACAGTGTGCACAGTATCTCCTAACCCTGGGTCAAAACCTTTTCCTGTAAGGGGCCAGATAGTAAATATTTTCCATTTTGCAGGCCATGCGGTCTGTCACAACCACTCAAATTTGTTGTCGTGGCAGGGAGGCAGCCATAGATAGTACATAAACAAATGGGCATGGCCATGTTCCAATAAAACTTTATTCACATGGTAACACCAAGGTCAAGGGTTTGGATCCCCTCACTGGCCAGTCATCAAAAAAAAAAAAAAAAAAAACTTTATTTACAAAAACAGGTGGAGGGCTAGTTTGCTGATCCCTGACCTAATGGCCCCCGCTGTAACAAGGATTAAATGAGATCTTGACTATAAAACACATTATTCAATGCCTAGCATAAAGTAAATGCTCAGAAAATTCTAGTCGTTATGATGACTGCTTTTACTATTGCCATCATCACTGATATCAACTCTCAACACTCTTAGCTAAATATCAAAATATCTATTAAAAAATCAAAATTAAAAGCAATTTTGTTTTATTTTATATTGAATAAGCTAGATGGCTTATTTTCAATTAAGTAAAATAGATACATTATATTTAATTAAAATATATGCTCACCTTTTTTTCCCCAAAATAGGAAATCAAGTTTTTTTGTCATTTGGTCGATAATGTGCATTCCCAATATAATTCTCATAGTTTCTCTTTTGTAGCATGCTGCTAGATAAGTGTTGATAAGACACAGGCCTTTTTCCTGATGGAAAAAAAAGTATAAAAGGGCATTTAATGTTAAGTTCAAACAATTAGGTAAGATGTGAATAGGTTGTTAGAGGCTGATTTTCATAATTCTTAATGCTGCTAATGTGATCACAACACACAAGTGGCATAAGTGTGTTTGCAGTTACAGCTGAACTGGTTTTACAAGAACATTTGTTAGCACAGAATAGTCTCCATGTTGTTACCAGTTAAGAATTAAAAAGCCAAAAAAATATGGGAGCATAAAATATATTAAACCTATATGCAGGAGGATTTGAACTTGCAACATAGAGTCTTTTCTGCTCAAGTAAAGTTTTGATTCATGTTCATTCCAAGCACCTTGGGGGGGGGGGGGGGGGGGGG